ATTGGGACCAGTGTGCAATGGCAGCTATATTATAGAGTTATCCGATTTTAGTAAAATTTAATTCGAAACTCGATAGTAGTTAAAAAAACACAATCTGGAAGAAATCAGTCAAAAAGATAAAAAACTACGAAGTAAAAATTTTTTTTGTCAATCTCTCGTATGGGAGCTATCCCATATAGTCGACCGATCCGGCACGTTCCGCCTTATATACTGCGTGCAATAACTACTACTACTACTACTACTGATTAAGAATATATATACTTTATGGGGTCTGAGGAGTCTCCTTCATTGCGTTGCAAGCCTCTGACTGAAATTATAACACCCTTTGCACTGCAAGGATATAAAAAACGAGACCGCCGTTGTGTGCTTAACTGGTCTCCAGCCTGATTTAGAAATATTTTGGTTCAAAGGATTGGTAAAGGATAAGGGTAAAAGCGAATGGGACAAAATTAACGGTGCATTTTGTCCGATTAATAGAGCAAACGATCATTCAAACAAGAAAGGAAGCTAGCTTCGGTAGCCCGAAGCTTATATACCCTTGCAGTCATCAAATATGTCGATCAAAATGCATAAGGGCTAAACAACATTGAAACTATGACGATTTTTCTTTTTATTTTCCATATTTTCGACTATTGTTTGTATGGCAGCTATATGATATAGTTTTTCGATTTTGATGAAATTTAATATGGAATTCAAAATCAGTTAGAAAACTCTATATTCCAAAAATGATGCTTGTCTGATGAAAAACAACGATGTTATAATTTTATTTCCCGTATTTCTATATAGATTTTTCGATCTTTCCTATGGCCGCTATACGATAAAAAAAAAAAATTTACATTCTTTTACTCCACCCGGGAGCTTAGAGCCTCTACAATTTCTTGTAGAGGATTCGTTATCATTGATTTTCGATCGTACCGGTGATAAGCCAGTAGCGACTTATCCTAGCGGTGGGGATGCCACCTGGCGCCATCTAGGAGTGTCGAAAATTCTATTGTTGGGTCCATAGTAACGTGGACGAGGGGGTGTGCGGGTCCGGGGAGCCGAAATTTGTTACTAATGTTAAGTGAGCGATAGAGCATAGAAGTGGTGGAGATTTGGAAAAAGAGACCGTTTCTTTTTCTCGGGGAGCCTGGGGCTCGACTTGAACCCGGGCCTTCCGGACCGGAGGCCAGCGCTCTACCTGCTGGACCACCGTCCCCCCCGCTATACGATAACGTTGTCAGATTTTAATGAAATTTTTTTCTCGAATCAAGGGTTATTAAAAAACCCCATGTTTTGAAAATCATGCTCGTGGGACTAAAATCAACGACGTTATAATTTTTTTTCATTATTTATATATATATTTTTTTGATCTTTTGTATGGCAGCTATATGGTGGAGTTATCCGATTTTGATCAAATTTTATCCGAAATTCAATAGTGGTCAGAAAACGCCATCTAGAAGAAATCAAGTCGATCTGATCAAAAACAACGACGTTAGAATTTTTTTTCAATCTCTTGTATGGGAGCTATCCGATATAGTCGACCGATCCGGCCCGTTCCGACTTATATACTGCGTGCAATAACTACACACCTTTTGGGAAAGTTTCAGCAAGATAGCTTTAAAACTGAGAGACTAGTTTAGGCAGAAACGGACAGGAGGACAGACGGACAGATGGACAGACGGACAGACGGACAGACAGACAGACGGACAGACGTACAGACGAACAGACGTATTTCGACTCAGATCGTGATGCTGATCAAGAATATATATACTTTATGGGGTCTGAGGTGTCTCCTTCACTGCGTTGCAAACTTCTGGCCAAAATTATAATACCCTTTGCTCTGCAAGGGTATAAAAATTGACGGAAAATTTCCAGGGAAAGGAGAAATTAGAGATCGAAAATAGGGCATGCATAGTGTGCTAAACTCGTGGCCACCACTCTATGTGGAATATATTTTTTTTGCTTGATTTAATAGTGGGTAAAAAAACTCTGTTTATTCATTTTATATAGACTTTTATATCTTTCCACCGATTTTCATCCGTTTTTAATGAAATTGAACAGAAATTTAAAAGTCCTAAAAAAACACCATGGAAGAAATATTTTTATTTGCGTACAATAACTACACATCATTTGGATTCTCGACTAGTTTACAGTAAAACGCACCGACAAACATCAGTTTCTTTCCCAAACGTGCTCCGCTTCTCCACCATTGTCCCAAGAATTAGCGCCATTTTCCCCAGCTTTGGCGCCAGTGGCGTAGATAGCTTTTTGATATGGGGGGGGGGTTATGACTCAGAATAATATCCTGTTTTTTTTGTAAGTTATATTTTACACTGCGATAATAATCCTCGTTGAGAGCTGCCAAACCATTCAAGCGGTCCTATAATAGATAAATAGACAATAATTCGAGTTACTATTGATGCATATTCGATAGTATCCAAACATAATTTCTCAGCTGCTTTGTCGATTTCAGATAAATCATGCTTGAAGAGCGCCGAAAACCCTTCTAATATTTTTTCGTGATCGATAAATCTCTCGCCAAGATCCATGATGTAGAAGTCCAAAAATGGATTGAACGCCGTGACACGGAAGTATTCTTCTGCACTCTGAACTTGAGGATTCGCTCGATTTTTTTGTCTGCTCACTTTTCGTTTGTGTTTGATTTCAATGTCCAAAGTTTCAGCAATTTTCTTTGCAGCTTCGAAAATTTCAGGAAACGTATCTGCTTCTCCTCGAATCCTTTTCAGTTCATCGCGTAAAAATGTGTGTTTCTTTTTCAATTTTGAGAGTTTTACCATTAATTGCCGTATTGCACATTGAAACAAAATAAATATTGGCGCTTCAAACATGTTATGCTTACATTAAAACACATGCCTGGAAAAAATTCGATTTTATCATCTTATAATTCTCAGACCCAAGGGGGGGGGATTGATCCCCCTGATCCCCCCCCCTATCAACGCCACTGTTTGGCGCCATGTATTTGCGTTTAGCATGTGCTCCTCTACACTGCCGGCGTGCGGCATATAGGTGCCGTTGAACTTATTTTGAATAAAAATTATTTTCTATTATGTTATGACTTTTTTAAATATTTCGATTAATCCACCATCTACAGTGCAGACATTCAGATTATACAATGCGTATTATTTTTTAAAGATTATTTTCTGAAAGAAGAAAGAACGGTAGTAAAGACCAGGTTTACCTGATTTTTTTTTTTTTTAATTACGGTGTTTATTTATCGAATCTTCTCTCTATGAGACTGACGACAAGTATTCAAATCTTAGCCTAATACATATAATTAATTAGTTAAAATTAAGTTTTTTTTTTATTAACGGCTATATAACTAGCTATAGCTGGATGGAGTGATCCCTTCGCCGGAGTCGTGTGTGGATAGCAGGGACTGTAACGGTTATAATCAAAAAAGCAAAAAAATTACAAAAAAAGTTATTTCTTAATTTTTACGAAAAAAATTGATTTTTAATACTTAAAATTAATTTTAATAATAACAAATTAGTAATAATTATTAAGTATCAATTTTTATATAAAAATTTACTCAATAACTTTTATTTTCAATTTTTATTATATAAATTGAAAAATAAAAATTATTCGATAACTTTTATTTTAAAAATTGAAAATAAAAATTGAAATATATATCTTTTGATCCGTAAAAGTCAGATCCAATATATATGTATATATATGATCTACACATCAATACTTTTCAGATGGTATATAATAAGTATGTATATATATCTATCTATATATCTATATATCTATATATATAAAAGCAAGTTGTGTTAGTTCCACCACTTATAACTTAAGAACGGCTGAACAGATTTGGCTGAAAATTGGTAGGAAGGTAGCTTAGAGCCCGGAATAGGAGTTAGGGTACTTTTTATTCCGTTCGACATACCAAAAATCGCATATAAACTGAGTTATTACCTCATCAAACTGACAAGCACACACTACCATAGCATTTTAACTCAATTTTTTTAAAGTGAGTAGAAATTATTTGTGATTTTGGTGAATTGAAGTGAAGTGAAGTTTTTCGTGCTTTTTGTGAATTGAAGTGAAGGGAAGTTTAATTAATAATGCCGCGACCAAGACGATCGAATCTTTCCCGACAAAGCCGTAATGCAAGAAGACTACAAAATACTGCAAATGGAAGGTCTGAAGAAGAACAAAACATTGAACGTGAACAGAACCGCGTTAGAATAGGTCGACTTCGTGCTTCTCAATCAGCAGAGCAAAGAGAGGCAATCCGTAATACGGCTCGGTTGACAATGCAGAATCGTCGAGCTTACAACAGAGGTCAAGAAATAGATCATTTGCGACGCAGAAGAAATTTATCAAGTGCTGATTTGAATCGAGCAGCGTTTCAATACGATTGCATCACTGATTACAGCTTGCATCCTAGCGTTTGCATTGGGCAAATGGACGTTGTTTGCGAGTATTGCGGTGCACTGAAGTTTTCCGGAGAAACGCCTGGATTATGCTGCTTTAATGGTAAAGTTAAATTGCCATTGTTGACTCCGCCACCTGAGCCATTGTATTCGTTGCTTTGTGGTGAAACACAAGAATCACGCCACTTTCTTGCAAATACCCGAAAATACAATGGTTGTTTCCAAATGACGTCATTTGGGGCAGATATTATCGAAGAACGAGGATTTAATCCGACATTTAATGTTTTTTTTTTTTTGTATTACATAGAATATAGTTAAAGAATAACTTACTTTATCTTAGATACAAGGACAGATTCACCATCGAATTGGATCATTACTACCTTTCGAAGATACACAAAAAAAATTTTTACAAATATATTTCATGGGCAACATGGAAGAACAACTTGATCGACGTCTAGCGATCAATGAAGGGATGAAGCGAGCAATTCTTCAAGACATGCAGTGTCTGCTTCATGAACATCATGCGATGGTCAGGTTGTTTAAGAGTGCTTTAGAGCGCATGCCAAATGATGACTATAAAGTTGTCATAAAAGCAGATAAACGACCATCTGGAACACACGAAAGGACATTTAATGCTCCAACAATAGACGAAGTCGCCATCCTGATTGTTGGTGAACAATTTGGAAACCGCGATATTGTGCTTAAACGTCGCGATACTGGGCAACTGCAACAAATATCTGAAACTCATCGATCATATGACGCGTTGCAATACCCGCTAATGTTTTGGCAAGGAGAAGATGGATATTATTTTAATATTAAAATGATTAATCCATTGAATGGTGAGTATTAGTATCATAATTTATTTCATTTATTTTTAAAAGACACTGATTTAAAATAATGCTTATTAAAAAAAATGGCTAATGGTGTATTCTTTGCCTTTAAAATTTGCATTTGAAATGGTTAATTATAAAATTTTTAATTTCAGGTGAAGAAACTACAAAGAAAGTAAGCTCAATGAATTATTACGCATATCGTTTGATGATTCGTCAAAATACTGACAACTATTTGCTGCGGTTTCGTCGATTGTTTCAGCAGTACTGCGTTGACATGTATGTAAAAATAGAAACTGAACGTTTAACATTCATTAGGTTGAACCAATCCAAACTGCGTTCTGAGGAGTACATCCATTTACGTGATGCAGTTAGTACTGAAGAAAATGCAGCTAATATTGGGCGACTAACTATTCTGCCAGCGACGTACATTGGTAGTCCACGTCATATGCATGAATATGCACAAGATGCAATGAAACATAAACCAACCAAAACTGTGCAACGGTACGCGTTTGGTGGTTAGAAAACTAATGAACAATGTAATTTACGCTACGATAATGATAGGAAAATTCAAAGGTGAGGAAGTTCTCATACCGAGAATACCGATGATACCAACCGATATGCCGTTTGAATTTAAAAGAATTCAATTTCCGATACGTCTTGCATTTGCCATGACCATCAACAAATCACAAGGCCAATCCTTAAAAGTTTGTGGTTTAAATCTAGAACATTCATGTTTTTCACATGGTCAATTATACGTGGCATGTTCACGGGTCGGAAAACCATCTGCGTTGTTTGTTTTTGCGCCTGATAATAAAACAAAAAATGTCGTGTATTACAAGGCACTTAAGTGAAGAGCAACCTATTTAGTAGGTTTTTAATTTTTTTGTAATTTTTTCCTATAAAAAAAAAAAATCTGCTTATTTATTGCCATTAACGCATACCGTTGCACAATTTTGGTTGGTTTATGTTTCGAAGTATGTTTACTACGGATCCAACCTTTAGATGTAAATTATGCAGTGGTAAGCCAGGCACGTCCAAAGAGTTTAAAAATTTAATTGGATAGTTGGTGGCTTCATCTTCATTTGTGACTCAGTCAATAGATTTGAATGAATGCATTGTTCCAATGATCTTATTTTGAATTATGTAGTTCAGGTCATCAACATCTTTATTCTTAGCCGCTAAAATGGCTCTCTCACTCAACCATTCCTTATTTTTGTAGTTAGAAATAATGTTTGCAAATACATTGTTGATAAGTTCCTTTTTGATGAGACAAAATTACAAAAATTATTTCGAAATGATATTAATCCGCTCGATTCATCGACAGGTACTTGACCATTGCCGATAGTCAGCAATTGCTTCGAGAAATCTTCAGCAGATGTATCATTAAGCAATGAAACATGGAAGAACAACTTGATCGACGCCTATGTACCAAAATACAGAAATAAAAATTAAATATTAATGTAGGTTTTTGATTATTTTTGTAATTTTTTCCAAAAAAAGGCAGAACAAAGTTCGCCGGGTTTGCTAGTATATATATAAAAATGGAGACAAAAAATGTGCGCAATCGCATCACATAAAAACGGCTTGACCGATTTGGCTGAAAATTGATATGGAGATAGCTTAGAACCAGAAGGAGGTTATAGCATAAGAAAATTGGGAAAACCTTCTGGAAAAGTCGCTAGCGGCTCAACAGATGTACACAATGTTGTATGTAAAAAAAAGATCATAGCTGCGTTGATATTGTGTATCGATGAAGTCGGTAAATAAATATTTAAACAAAAAAATCGAGCGAGCTTAAACAATTTGAAATAATGCCTGCTGTTAGACGATTAGGACTTGGACGGCGTTCGCGCAATGTAATAAATAGTCCGAATTTCCGTAATAGTCGGACGCAAGAGGAACGTGCAGAAATAAATGCATCGACACGTGCCCGAATGGCACAGCTTCGCGCTGCACAAACCCCACCTCAAGCCCGACAAAATAATAGAGGATGAAGCGACCAACTATCCGACAGAATTTTTGAACTCACTGGATGTGCCAGGAACTCCGCCGCATAATTTGCAACTGAAGGCGGGATCAGTTATTATCAGGGCTAACAGAGTTATGTTCTTAAAAACGTTAAAATATGTATGGATTTATGGACGAAAAAATAGAGAAATATGAACGAAATATGGAAGAAAAAAGGGATAAATATAGGTATAAAAATGAATAAACGTAGACGATTATATCGATCATATTATATTTCAATGTCTTAAAGATTATTGCAGAATAGTGTGACATGTTGTGTAAGATTAATAAAAATAAAACTACGGCGTTTGTCACTTAATATATGTTTATAAGATGAAAATGAACGCTCAACATCGCAAGATGTAACAGGACCATTTGCATATGCATTCAGCTCAGCAGGTGATAAATTCGCGATAAGATCGTCACCTTCTGTAGAACTATCAATCAGATTTCCTGCTAACATTCGCGATATGTCCTGAAGAATTCGCAGACCTGGATTCTTATTTGATACATAATCAAACTTTTGACAAATGACTGAATCGTTCCCCATTTTCAATTGGACACCAACTTTTAAGAACAGGTCAATTCCATCAGGCACAAACATTTTTTGGGATTGTATCGAATTCAGCGCAGTTACAATACACGAGTAGTTTCTTTTGAGATAAGCTAAGTCAATCTTAATGCTTGGCATAGCCAATAGGTCTTGAGCTGCTCGAATAGATTCAGCATCATCCTCATCGAAAGAGTTGATGATTGAACGCGTTTCTTCAAAATGATCGGCAAAATATATGGCGGCCTCAATCCACGTGCCCCAGCGAGTAATAATTGGCCTAGGTGGAAGTGGAATATTTGGAAACGCTTGCGCAAATTTTTGGCGTCGAAGTGGAGCCTGCGAGGAGTAGCAAATGAATGTAAACGTCAAACCGCGGTATATTACAGTAATCTGCAAATTCCAAACTCACCTTTGCGAAGATATTTTTCACGTTTGAAATCAGATTATTGACGTTCGAATATTTAGTACGAATTGTTTCAGCTACGCGATGTAAACCATGAGCTAAACACGTCAAATGAACCATTTTTGGATAAAGCACTTTCAGGCTTTTCATAGCTTTGATCATATATGGCGCCGCGTCCGTTACGACCAACAAAACTTTATCGTATTGTATTCCTGTAAGTAAAATTTTATTTTTGAGCAACAAACAAACAATTTCAATACAAATTTCACTACATGCTAAACATACCAGCTGGCCAAAGTGAACTTAAACAGTCATTGAAGAATGTGGCAAGTGTGTTGCTATTAACAAGCTCCAGTATTTTGATGGAAAATAAATAACTGAGGCCTCTCTCCTCTTCGACGCCCAAAACACCGAATACGAAATTAGCGACAAATCTTTGTTCACAATCCGTCGATTCGTCTACAGTAATCCAAATGTAATTGTCCACGGCCTTTTTACGCATTTTTTCCAGACAATTTTCGTACAATTTTGGCACATACATATGTATGTACTTCGAAGTGAACTTTCGGAAGGTGCTGCAAAGCCCGTAAACTCGGAGATGAATTCTTGCATGCACGGATGTGCAATTTTGTGCAATGGTATATCTGCACGTAGAAAAGTGTTTGCAAATTGCGTGCAGAAACCACTTAATTTCGGTCCATGTGTTGATTGCTGAAATTGCGTCACTAAGGTTTGGCTCAATTGCTGATTCTTTTATTTATTAGAAACCGAATTCACATGCTTCTGTGTTGCAATATGCTGCTTGACTTGAAATAATTGCGTGGCGTTGATTTTCACTTCACAGAATTTACAAAATAAAACGGATTCATCTGCACGAAAAACATGTGGATATTCGCGTAGCATTCGCGTCAAAAACCCGCGTGTACTTTCTTTTTGTGTTTTCGGCATGATTAAGTAAAACTTGAAAGTAACGGAAACTAACAACACTACATAAGATTCGATGTAATAATATAGGCAAATACGGAATACAACCTATCGTTAGACAATAAGGAATACCATTAATGTAAATACATATAAAATTAATCGATAAGTAATCGATGAGTATAAGGCAAACGACAGAAATTTCATAATATTTAAGCTTTAATGCTCAAAATATGGATTTATTCAAGTGATTGTGTAAAATATGGATTTATAGGAAAAAAGGCGAAAATATGGAAATAAATATTTTTTCATTTAAAAACATAACTCTGTTAGCCCTGGTTATTATAATGCTGCGGAATCTAAATCATCCGAGATTATGCAACGGTACGCGGTTGTCCGTTAAGAAACTAATGAACAACGCGATTCAAGCGACGATCATCAAGGGTAAATTTAAAGGAGAGGAGTTCTTATCCCAAGGATTCCGATTATTCCATCAGCTCTTCCATTCAAATTTAAGATGATTTAGTTCCCAGTAATCGCGAGGCCAGTCGTTGGAAGTCTGCGGGATAAATCTGGAAAATCAATGTTTTTCACATGGACAGTTATACGGAGACTGTTCGCGTGTCGGGAAGTCGTCATCATTATTTATTTTTGCACCGGATAACAAAACAAAAAATATTGTTTATCACATCGCTCTCCAATGATTTCAAGTCAAAAAAATTTCACAAAAAATTTGAATTACCAGTGTTCTATTATTACTATGGGGTTATATGAAATCGTGAAATTGGGGCGAGACAAAGTTCGCCGGGTCCGCTAGTATGTATATATATGTTTATCCGCTTATGTGCCTGTGCAGTATTGTCTTATTACACAGCTGCACAGACTAAGCATTTTGACTTGACCAAATTCGTGTCTAATGCTTAAGTTTACTTAAAAAGTCATAACATAATAGAAAATAATTTTTATTTAAAATACGTTCAACGGCACCTATATGCCGCACGCCGGCAGTGTAGAGGAGCACATGCTAAACGCAAATACATCAGCGCTTGCCCGCTCTAGCGACCGAAAACGGAAAGGGCGTCAGAGAGATTAAAACAAGAGAGAGCGCTGTAGGTGAGAGTGTGCGTATGCATGTGCATGCGCTGGCGGCTCTCCATTTTCAAGTATAAGCGTGATGCGCGAAAATGGTGCATGAAAACAACAAAAATGGCGCCAAAGCTGGGGAAAATGGCGCTAATGCTTGGGACAATGGTGGAGAAGCGGAGCACATTTGGGAAAGAAACTGATGTTTGTCTGTGCGTTTTACTGTAAACTAGTCGAGAATCCAAATGATGTGTAGTTATTGTACGCAAATAAAAATATTTCTTCCATGGTGTTTTTTAGGACTTTTAAATTTCTGTTCAATTTCATTAAAAACGGATGAAAATCGGTGGAAAGATATAAAAGTCTATATAAAATGAATAAACAGAGTTTTTTACCCACTATTAAATCAAGCAAAAAAATTCGTAAAATTCTATTACCACATACAGTGGTGGCCACGAGTTTGGCACACTATGCATGCCCTATTTTCGATCTCTAATTTCTCCTTTCCCTAGGATCCCTGAGATTTTTCGTCGATTTTTTTTAATGTACGTTAGTTCTATTAATACACCGTTAATTTTGTCCCATTCGCTTTTACCCTTTTTCTTTACCAATCCTTTGAACCAAAATATTTCGAAATCAGGCTGGACTCCAGTTTAGTACACTCTTCAAACTTTTAGTTTTTACAATGGCGGTCTCGTTCTTTTTGGTTAAAGTTAACTGGCAATTCTTGTTGTCATTAAGAGAGAGTAAAATTTTTATACCCTTGCAGAGCAAAAGGGTATTATAATTTCAGTCAGAAGTTTGCAACGCAGTGAAGGAGACACCTCAGACCCCATAAAGTATATATATTTTTGATC